AACAAAAAAAAAAAAAAAAAAAAAAAAAATATAGAGGGGGTAGAGATATTTCCAGTGGATTTAAGTAAGTGATTCATGTAATGAAATGCTTAGGGATTTGTTTAATGTGATTTTATATGAGCTGTGGACATTTCCAAAGCAAACAATAAGTTCAAGTACAACATGCACGGTTGTGTTACAAGTGTTACTCAGTTGGCTGGGAGATCTTCGGTGAGCAAACAGGCTAAATCTGGAGAGTAAACAACTTCAGAAAAATCTACAACTCCAGGTCACTGAAAACAGCCTTTTATTTGTTTTCCTTAGTGTCTAGTAAAATTTGATCCTTTCTTTTTTTTCGCAACACTGCTGTAAAATCAGCAGGGCCGGGCATCACCAGCCCGTGGCTCTCCCCGGCCCAGACACAGAACGCGTTGCTGGGACCTGGGTGCGTAGATGGGCGCGAGAAAACGGGTGCAGGTGAAGGAGGGTGCTGCTGGCCGGAGTGCTGTGGGGAGGATACCCCCGCATAGCGCCAGTCACTTACTTCTATGGGGCTGTCACCCGGAAAGCGGGCTCTTGCGACAGCCTCCGAGTGGAGAAGCCCCACGACGGCCTCACAGTGGTCCTTCCCACTCGAGAGGGTGATTCGAGCTCCCTTCGTGAGGGGCTTCTGACCCTGGGCCGGAGGCGGACCAGACGGTGAGCATCGCCCCGGGGGGATGAGGAGCGCACGCTTGTGGGGTCGAGTGGTCACAAGCGCACCTGGAGGGGCGCCAGAGCTAGCGAGAGAGTCGGGGACTCTCCGGCCACGGGCATCGTGCCACGGGCAGGTCGCTTTTCACGAATTCCGCGGGATGGGTGACCCTAGGCCGTATGGTACCACTAGTAGCTCCCCCACCCCTCCACGGCAGGGCTTTATGCCGGGAGTCTCCCGCTGGCTCCGGGCCGTGCTAGGGTCTTGGAAATGCAGGAAATGATGTAACTAAAATTCAAGGTACTTGGGGGTAATAGGGTTTGCTGTATTTAGCGCGGAGGTCCGGACGTTTCCGCGGGAAAGGAGGACGGTCCGAGGGAAACAGCACGGTCAGACGCTAATGGCTATTGTCACCGGATCAGAAATCGAGTTGGGAACCAGGAGCACCCGGTGCGGTGTTCCCAAGCCATCAACGTAGCCAAGGGGGATCGGACGGCAAATCCGAGCGGCGTGGCTGCAGTCCTCCCCCAGGCTCCCCCAGGGCGCTGCGGGCGGAGGTGCGGGGACACGGGGCTGCAGGGCGGCGGGGCTGGCCGAGCCCCCTCGCAGGCTGCAAGGGTGGGGGGAGCAGGAAACCTCCCAATCGCGACGCTCCGAGTCGGAGATTGCTGTTGGTATTCACTTTAAAAAGAGGTTGAATGGGACTTTTTTTTTCCCCTTTTTTTTTTTCTCCTCTTTTTTTTTTTTTTTTTTTTTTTTGCCAAAGCTTTGTTGTGCTAAACTAGTTGGACGAGTTAGGGTGTCGCTGCTCCCGATTGCTCTGGCCAATGGAACCCGATCCACCCTGCTGTGCGTAAGAGCGCAATTAAGGATTTAACCAAGCCTATGCTGCGCCCCAGCCAGCAGTCTGCCGGAGACAGACACCGCGCCGCAGCCTCCTCCCCCAGACATGTCTGCTTAGACCCGAGCAGCCCCGCCGCCAGCCCCAGCCCGCCGCCGGCTCCGAGCTATGACAGGAGTATTTGACAGAAGGGTCCCCAACATCAGATCCGGCGACTTCCAAGCTCCTTTCCAGACGGCTGCAGCCATGCACCACCCGTCCCAGGAATCTCCCACTTTACCCGAGTCCTCCGCTACGGATTCCGACTACTACAGCCCGGCGGGGGGAGCCCCGCACGGCTACTGCTCGCCTACCTCGGCTTCCTACGGCAAAGCGCTCAATCCCTACCAGTATCAGTACCACGGCATGAACGGATCTGCCGGGAACTATCCTGCCAAAGCCTATGCAGACTACAGCTACGCCAGCCCCTACCACCAGTACAGCGGGGCTTACAACCGCGTCCAGAGCTCCGCCAGCCAGCCAGGTGAGGGCCGGGGGCCGGGGGTGTGCGGGAAACTCCCGCGGCTTTGGGGAGGCTGGGGGATCGCGCCCCGGCAGATCCCTGACCCACGGACCACGGGGATGCGGCTTTGCCTGAATCAGAAGGGAAACTAAAAATAAAGAAATAAATAGAAAAAAAAAAAAAAAGAAAATTGGGAGGGGAAGAAAAGTGGAGAACTGGTTTACTGCTCTACTTCTTTTGACCAGCCCGCATGATCTAAACTACAGATCGTAGGACTAGTGCTTTAGCGCTTCTGTCAGCTGTCCCCGGGCCCCCACGGCTACCTCCCTCCTCCTTCTCCCCGCAGGAAGAGGGAGAAAATAGCCGAGCCTTGTTGCGTGTCTCAAACTCAGGTTCGCGGTGTTGAAGAAAGTTTCCTTCCCCCTGTGCTGGAGGGGTGGGGGAGGAGACTGGGAGGGGGAGACCAGCCGTGGCGGGGCCGCGAAGCCGGGAGGGTTTTTCACCAGAAAACGTCGTGGTTTTAGTGTTTTACTTCTTTGTAACTTGCTGTAGGGGAGAAAAAAGAAAAAAAGAAAAAAAGAAAAAAAGAAAAAAAGAAAAAAAGAAAAAAAAAGAAAAAAATAAGAAGGGGTCAGGGAGGAAAAAAAAAACCAAAACAACAATCCCGTGGTAAAGCCAAGCAGCTGGGGCTTGGCTGGGACGAGTGCGGTCTCGGCGGCGCTTGGGGACACGCCGGCGGGGGCATGGGGATGGCGCGGGCGTGCGGAGGAAGTGGTCGATGCCTTGGGTCCGACCCGCTCCGGACAGAGCTCTTCCCAGCAGGGCCCCAACCATCCTCCCAACACCCGCGGCGGCCGCGCATGCCCTACGCTCCCTCCCGCGCAGTTCTGCGCGCCCGGCAGGATGCCCGGGGCGGGCGTGAGAGGCGGAGGAGGAGAGCCGGGGGTGGCCGAAGCCGATGTGGAGGGAGCGGGTTCCTCCCCCTCGTCTCACCGCGGGGAGCTGGCGGAGGCTGCGCGGGGCCGCCGCCCGGCTGCGGGAGCCCCGGGGGGAGCCGCAGGGGCCCGTCGGGCCGGCGCCGCTGCCCGGCCCGGCCCGGCCCGCAGGCGGGATGCCGCCCCGGCGGCGCAGGCTGCGCGGCGCGGAGCGGAGCCTGTCCCTAGCTTAACGTGTGCGTCTCTCTCCCGCTCTTGCGCCCGTGCAGAGAAGGAGGTGGCGGAACCCGAGGTGCGGATGGTGAACGGCAAACCAAAGAAAGTGCGCAAACCCCGGACTATTTATTCCAGCTTTCAGCTGGCAGCGTTGCAGAGGAGGTTTCAGAAGACCCAGTACCTCGCCCTGCCCGAGCGGGCCGAGCTGGCAGCCTCCCTGGGACTCACGCAAACACAGGTACGGCGAGCGGTTCTGCTCGGCTCGGCCCGGCGGGTCCAGAACCGGGGCACACCCCGGAGCGGCGGGAAGGGCTGGATCGGCCCCGCGGAGGGGCGGGAGGGCGGCGGGGCGCCGCAGCCGCGAAGCACCGGCTTGCCAGGCGGGCATTAATGGTGTCGCTTTCCCTCCCCACTCCCTCTTTCCTTCCTTCTCCTCTCCTCTTCTCCTGCCCCGCTCCCAGGTGAAAATCTGGTTTCAGAATAAAAGATCCAAGATCAAGAAGATCATGAAAAACGGGGAGATGCCTCCGGAGCACAGCCCCAGCTCCAGCGACCCCATGGCCTGCAACTCTCCACAGTCACCTGCGGTTTGGGAACCTCAGGGCTCGTCCCGCTCCCTCAGCCACCATGCCCATGCACACGCTCACCCTCCAAACTCCAACCCGTCCCCTGCATCCAGCTACCTGGAGAGCTCCGCTTCCTGGTACCCCGCTGCCAACTCCATCAACTCCCACCTCCAACCCCACGGCTCCCTACAGCACCCGTTAGCGCTGGCCTCTGGGACGATTTATTAGAGCCTGGTCCTTATTTTTTTTTTTTTTTTGGGTTTTTTTTTGTTCCTTGGACTCCTGTGTTTTACTGTTAAGGAATAATAACGAAAGGAATGCATATGGGGAATTTTTAAAAGGGAAAAGAAACAAACAAAAAGATTAAAATGTGTAAAGCTTGTGCATGTAACTTATTGCATTTCAAAGGAAACCCTTTTTTATACAATACGGACATTTTTTGGCTCAGCTGTGGACACTATCATTGGTGCCTTGAAATCTATGACCTCAACTTTTCCAGAGACTTTTTTCAATGTTATTTTAACCTGTAAATAATTGTAGATAGAGGAATTAAACTGTATATTCTGAATAAAATAAAATTATTTCGACCAAGAGAAACGTTTCCAAATTACCCCTTCTTCTATTAATAAGAGGGATGAAGTATAATACTAATTTGCTTGCAGAAAGAGAGGAAAGAGGATGGGAGCTGGGAGCTCACATTCTGTTCCAGTACCGTGCAGTGCCACCACAGTCCGTGAGTGCTGGGAGGATCCGGTCCTTGCAGGTACCCACGGGCGAGCTGAGGGGCGGCGGTGCTCTCTCCCCGCTGGGAAAGGGGCTCTGGCAAGACCGCGTTCGTCTCATTGCAGAGTGCTTTAAACTGGAGGGAAAGATGCCCGTCCTGATGCGAGAAAGCGAATCTCTCGCCTTAAGCCTCCCTGAATCCTTTCCTGAGAGCAATTAGCGTCGAGAGCTGCACACTCCACAGCCCATCAGTCGCCCGTGTGCGCTCGGCTAATTATACAAATTACGTTTCCGTCAAAGGGAGCCACTAAATATGAGAAAAGAATAAAATGAGGGCCCCGCTCCCCTCGCTCCTGCTAAAAGCCTGCAGCGGTTTCGACTGAAGGAGGAACGTTTCAGAGGTACTTTCATTGTTTTTGTTTTATTTTTTACACTATTTAGGGAAAAAAACCTTGCGTCAGAGCAGTCGCTAGCACTGCCCAGAGCTGGAGGAACGACTTAGGTGAGATGGCCGGAGAGCTGCCCACTGGCGCGGACGTCTCGCATGGAGCGTGGGCTCTCCTCCAGTAGAAATTCTGTCCCGCGGGATCCCCGCGGCGACACACGTTCCCACGGGGACCCCCATCCTAGGGGGCAGTGGTAATTCACAGCCGTGCGGGGTACGGCGACAGCAGTGAATGTGCCAAAAGCGTCCCTGGAAGGATCCCCGAGATGAAAGATGCCCCTCTGGCAGCTGAGGCTGGCGGGGAGGGTGCTGGAAGAGGGGGAGGTGAGGCCTGAAAAGGCACGCTCCTGCCCTGGGGCGCACTTACCTGTCTCCAGTCTTCCTCCCCGCTGCCCTCCCCCTCCTTTCTTTTCCTTCCTCTCCCGCCTGCCATGCTTTGTACGTGTGCGTGTGAGTGAGTGTGGTGTGCGTAGTTTTCTCCCCAAAGAAAGAAGCCCGGGTTTGCTGTTTTGTAACAGGTTTGGGGGTTGGTAAATGTCTTGCAGTACAATAGACCAGTTTGTTCGGTTGTGCTCCCTGCACGCCGGGGAGGGTGCGGGGGTGCCGGAGGCAGGACGGCGGGGGCCGCCGCTGGCTGCC